TTCTCAAGCTCCTCAAGTCTTGAGTTGATTATCTTCTTTAAGCAAACAAACTTGGATTTCTGTTGGTTAAACCCATGTAAATATTAACTTTATTAATCATATTAAAATCAAATATATATTTATACATTCACATTCAGACTCATTAAAAAAAAAAGTAGTCTAAAAGTACAAGTTCACTAATCATATAAGTTACACTAGGCTCGTTTTTTCTTTTTTAATTAAATAGAACCAAACATAATACGTGGAAATGGGCAAGAAAATGAATGAAACAAATTAAGTTACACTGTCATTTAATTTAAAGAATTGCATCAACTACTTTGACTTACGTAATTTAGTTCCCTAATTCGAATGGAACGCCATTGAGGGATATATAGTTTTCTCTTTAAGTTTTAATTTGCTACTCATCTGTTTTTAACCTTTATTTTGATTTTGACTAGATTTTGCTTAGACGATAGATCTATAATTATGGTTAATCTAGTTATTTGTTAATTACCCTATAATTAACGTATAATTTTAGTCCTTTAATTTTTTTTTTACTTGAATTTAGCCTCTCAATTCATTTTCTCCACTGTTAATTAGTCTCTCAAAATTAGAAATTTCCAAAATTTTCCCATCTTTAAAATCTTGATTTTACACTTTCATGATTTTTTTTAAATATTTTAAATCATTATGTGAAGGAAAAAATCATCATTAACAGATCAAATTCAAATATTAATCAACATTGAAAATATAATTAATCAATGCTAAAGAATATAACGAAGTCAATGGAATTTACACTTTATTATTTTATAATTTTGCATGTGTATATAATTAAATAAATTCTTACTTCTTCCGCAGTAGTAGTGAGAAAAGAAAAAAGAAAAGGAAAAGTAGTAAATAAAAGTTGTGCTCTCCGTTTTCAGTTTCTCGTTCGTTCAGTAGTCGCAGTTGGGGCCTCGTTGTCTCAGATCGGAGCAGAACTCTCCTTTCTCCTCAATCCTCTCTCTAAAACCCTAACACCTCGAAATGCCCGAACCGGAATCGCAGAACGGACACGAACCGGAACCGCAACCGCAGCCAGAAGCAGAACCAGTGCCACCAGAACAACCGCAACCACAATTGGAACCGAAATCGGAACCAGAGCCCGAACCAGAACCAAATCCCCAGCCAGAATCAGAACCAGCGCCAGCACAATTGGATTCGAAGTCGGAACCAAAATCTGATCCAGCGGTAAACGACGCAGATCTCAGGGAAACGACGGTCCATTCCAATGAGGCGCGCACCAATCCTCCTCCCAATCCGAAACTCCGAAAGGACGAAGGAAGTCGAACTTTCACCATGAGAGAATTGCTGAACGGATTGAAAACCGACTCCGAACCCGAGAGAGAAGATGCCAACTCTCCCTACAGGTTACCTCTCCTTTTCCTCGTTGAATCGAGAAAACGGAAAACGACAATGCGTTTGATGTTCCACTCGATGCAATCTTTTGCTTGTAGATCGTGAATGGCCTGTGGAATGTTTCACCGAGAAATGATTCTGATTTTTGCTCCTGTTAGCGCATTGTCTTTTTATACTGATTCTGATTTAAGGGTTTGAGTTTGGGAGTGTATTCCTCTCGTGCACGCATGAAATGTAGCTTTTATACATTGTGGTGTTTTAAAATTTTCAGCCCAGAGCAGCAGCAACAGCAGGCGGAGCAGAACAATGCTACTATGGATTTGATAAATAGCGTTGTTGGTGCTGATGAGGAGGGCCGGTCTCGGCAAAGGATTCTTACATTTGCTGCTAGGAGGTAACATGTTTACTTCTATTTGCTACTGGAAATTTCTCACCTTGAAAACTTCTTGCAAAACTGAAATCTGTTTTGTAATCTTTTGCAAATAGTAGTAGCTCCATGGTTTGTCCATATTTGTTCAAATTTGTAAAATCGTAATTGGATTTTCTAGGTATGCAACTGCAATTGAGAGGAACCCTGAAGATTATGATGCATTGTACAATTGGGCATTGGTGCTTCAGGTCTGAACAACTGTCTGACTTTGTGTTTTGTTTTTCATATTATATTTTACTGTTTTACTTCTTTCCTCCTCAATCCCCTTTTGGTTAGAATACCTGGGTTTTACCTTATCAATTTATTGCTCAGTATAAGTTATTCTGGCATTTTGCATTAATATAGCTGAAATATGCATTTTTCATTTTTTGATAATCAAATAAAATTCCTTGGATATCCATTACCAACAAAATGCATCTTGCTCTGATCTTTATTATAAACAAAAAAACTGATTGCATACATATTAAGATAATTAGTTGTTTGCGTTAAATTGATTTCCTAAATTGTCCTTATTATAAATGTCAAAAAAGGTTATGCATTAAAAGAGAGGTATTTTAAAGAAAATATCATTAAATGGGACAAAAACAGTTGAATTTCACTTGTATTTTAAGAATAAAAATTGTGACTTTTTTGTTGCTTATAATAAAGAACAAAAGGAGTATTGTTCTGTGTTAAACTCGTGTAAGCACATTGAATCATGTAGTTATTACTAGAAACAATCTGGTTTTTAGGCCAAAATTACAGTACAAAACATAGACAACACAAGGCTTCTCCCTAACAAGGACTGTCCTCCTTTTGCTTTTAGCAATCAGTAAAACTACCCAATGAATAACCACCACCAAGCCCCATACATATAAGGTATCACACACTAACTGTTACTCCACTAAATTGACCATTCTATATCTGCCTAAATAACTAAATAGAAATAATATGCAAAAATAATAATTCAAATCCATAGCTACCTAAATAGCTGCCTAAAGACACAAACACTAATAATTCAACTCTACTAAGTGATGGTTTTCTTCTTATCCATTCTCACATAAACTGCCCAAGGTCTATCTCTGCCGGTTTGAAGTTTTGAATTGTAATTAGCTATATTTGGTCCAAGCTTTACATTAACTGTCTATTTGATCTTTTTCGGCATGCAGGAAAGTGCAGATAATGTTAGTGCAGATTCCACATCACCCTCTAAAGATGCTTTGCTTGAGGAGGCTTGTAAGAAGTATGATGAGGCCACACGACTTTGTCCCACACTACATGATGTATGTAGGGATATCCTTCTCAATGATGTTTAGATAAATGGGTAGCAAAATTTTAGCTAGGATTTGGATACGGGTGTAAATGAGTTGAACATTAGAATGCATGGGCTCAACTAAGAGCAGTGAAGCCTAAATGAACCCAAGCCTTAAATAAAACTCGGTATATATTATATAATTGTAAATACCACTAAAAAAGACTTTAAAGGGACATGCATAAGCACATGTATAAGTTATAAATACTATTCTGTATATTATTAATTTTTTAAATATTTTTCTTATATGTGCTATTAACAAGCTGAACAAAGCAGTAAAATTCTCAATCTCAGATAATTTATTGAATGAGTTTCAGTCCTTTGGGTTAATTAAAAATGTGAATCTGACAAAATTTGATCAGAAGTGGGACGAAGTGAGGGAAATTTTTGCAGGAACAGCCTTCTAAGTTCTATCAATGTGGTACAGAACAAGTGGTCAAGAATGATGCGATGAAACACACACTCTCCCTCTCTCTCCCTAATTCCTGGGTATTGAAGAGACCAGCCTATTTTTTTCACACTTATTCTTTAGATACACTATCTTCTCTTCTAACTTCTAACTAATTGTTGATAAATTATTGAGTCTGTTCTAAGTTCTAACTAAGTAACTAACTGCTAATGTATGGACCAAATATCTAACAGATCTGTACAGAGTCAATGATAGATACCCATCAGTTAGATAGTTAGTTACATTATTGAGTTAGTTAAGTAAGTGGGTTGAAATAGTTTGACCAGACATGTTGCCTACAACTAATAAGGGAGGTTGAGGCTTGAGAGAGATCATGTTGCCATTTGTGAGAGCAAAATTAGGGCTATTTGGCATTGGGATTTGGGGGGTGCAGACCCTCTAAGTTCTGCAGTGTGTGTGTTCTATTCTATATATTGGGGAGTTCTTCCCTATTTGTTCTAGTAAATATACATGTTTCTATCAACTGTTACCAAAGCTTTGATCTTGGAGCTATCAGTAGTGTAGATGGGAGGATTCAGGGGCTCTTCAAAGTTCAGCAAGAATGAAGGAACATGTTGTTGACATTAAAAAATGAGGACAGATATAAAAAGTTTCAGTAGGGAACTCAAGGAAGATTGAGAATTGTTGGTGCAAAAATACAGAAGAGAAGATAAAGGTCCTTGGAAGGAATAAAACAGAGGGGATGATGAAGTCTGGAAAGACAGAGGGGAATCTTGGTTCTTGGGAGCATAAAAACAGAGGGGAAGAGGAAGCCTAGATGAATGGAGGGGTCACCAACTTGGGGGGAGAAGAAACAAAAAATTCATCAGTGTACATGGACAGGGCGTAGATGAAGACTTGTTGGTGCAAACTCAAGGACTGCTTCCTGTATATGAAGAAAGAACAGAAATTTCAAAAAGAAATAATGCTTCTGTGGAAAAGATAGGAAAAGAGCATCGTATCAAGGAAGAATTTAAACATATTGAAGGTGAAAATACAAAGGTTGGTTGAGGCAGAGATTGTTTAAAGGTAAATCAAATTTCATCAGTGAGTCATAAGCCCCAAAGGAGAAGAGTTGCAGTCATTCAATAAAGAGGTTGTTGGGGACGAGGAGGGTTGATCATGATGGGTGAATAGATGATGCACTGGTCTGCCGTGGGTACATAACTTAGTATCTCAGGTTGTCCAGTCAAGAGACTGCACAAAAGCCACCTGAGTTGTGTTCTTCCATGGAGTGGGATAGATGGAGCTCTAGCTCTCACGTGGGCTGATCCAACCTCTACTGTACGACTACGATGCTTGTAAGGTGGTCAATGTTACTTTATTAATGGAAACAACTGTAGAGAAAGGTGCTGTCTGTCAATTCCAGAACAACATGGTTTGTATGAAAATCACAGCAAGAACAGAAACAAGGTATACTAATACAATGTTAACTAAACTGCCATAGTCAAAACCAATGGATTGAGCTCTTTGCAAGGGGGAAACGATGAAGGGAGAGTGACCAAAAAAGCAGGAGAAAATAAATTTCTGAATTTAAGGGGCCAAATCCAACCAAGGACAGTGAGTCCTATGGGAAAAGTTGTCATATTATAACCCATTATCGGCAGTCATGTGCATCAGTGAAGTTCACAAGGCGAGCCAGATCTCATGGCAACTATAGCGCTGAACTAGAGTAGCATAGGAGCACTCACATTTGTTTTTGATCCAGAAGGAGTGAATGCTAATTTTGGGCTGAGTGAGAGAAATCATATTATCACTTTTGAGATGAAGTAAGAGCCTTTTTGCATTGGGAGGTGCAGACACTCAAAGTTCTGCATTGTGTTCTATTCTATTTTTACACTTCTACATGTGTTAAGTAATTTGTATCACCACAATTCCCTTGTATGTAGCTACATTTTATAACCAGGCAGGCTTTACCAAATATCAATCTTCTTACCTAGGGGACAGTAAGCACCTCTGCTATATTGCTATCAATGCTGTATTGGTAGCCAATCTTTCTTTAGGAAAATGTTGTCCTTGTTGTGATGATACTTAAGTAGTCAGTCTTGTCAAAGCTTTTTGATATAGTAGGAAAGCTCAATATTTTTCCTATTTTCTTATAAGCATGTTTGTATTTTTATACACAAAATGAGTCTTTTCTTTTCATTTTCCTGCCAACATTTGATTGTATTCAGGCTTTTTACAATTGGGCAATAGCAATTTCTGATCGAGCAAAGATGCGTGGCCGCACAAAAGAAGCTGAAGAGCTATGGAAGCAGGTCAGAAAATATAAATGCTGTCTTTTATTAATGGTTTCATGCATATTTTGGCATAGGAGAAAATGATTTTTTTAGTGGTTCTTGATCCTATACTAATCCCTCTATGCACATTGGATAGTGCTTGATACAGAATTGAATTCCTACTGAACTTGAATGGAAGAATTTTTCACATTTTTGGTTATAGTTGTTGTGGTTGATAGAAAGAGGCTCATTGTCACACAATCTAATTTTTGTTAAATTTAACATTTTTTCCCAGGCAACAAGGAACTATGAAAAAGCAGTTCAACTTAATTGGAACAGTCCTCAGGTTCTTCTCAATTAATTGTTAAAAGTTTGTCTTGCAATTTCTTGTAATGTCAGAATATAATTTTGAAGCAGCCTTTCTTGATATATATTTACTCTATTCTGTACAATTTTCTGTTCCTACACTTCTGATTTTGTTCACAAGCATGCTCATTGCATATTAAGCCCTTGTTAATGATCCTCATGGAATCTATTTCAGGCGCTTAATAACTGGGGACTTGCTCTTCAGGTATATTTAACTTGCTAGTGTAGAAGTATTTCTTTACATGATGCAAACTGCAATAATAAAAAATGCATGTATTTTTATGGTTACATGCTTCAAGTTCTAACTGCATTTTCCTCCTCCCAAATTGATGTGTATATTGCAAAGAATCAAAATAGAAATTTTGGAGAAGCTTCATTATATAAAATTCTCTAAAAGGCCATTTTCATGTTTCTCCAAGACCTGGATCTTTTTCCTTCTCCTCAAAGGTTTATATCAAAAGCACTTTGGGCTCCTGTGAATAAATCTTATCCAAATGTGCAGTCACAAATATCTTTTTCAAGTATTATAACAAAGAATCTAAACTCAAACGTGATAATAGTTTTCACTTGGAAATTGTAACAATGGATACAAGGTGCATATTTATGTAAAAAAAAATGTATATATATTCTTTTGTAACAATTACATGATTTATGTATGGTACTTAATAGATAACCATATAAAATTCCAATGCATAATTAATATAATGCGAGTAAGATTACAAGGAATCCCAGAGTAATCTACAGTTCATACCATATTTTTTACTAGCTATTAATTAAAAGTTAATAAATGTTTCTTATCCAAGTTATCATGTATACATACATGCTGCATTCCTCACAGATCAAGAGACAGTCAGATTTCATAATTAGCCTATTTTGCTATTTTTTTTTCTTTTGTTAAATCATAGTTGTTATTATATGATTGATTAAGTAGGTATGTGTCTCTTAATGAAGTTGGTAATGCTACATGTGAAAGTTAATACTTAATACTCCTTCTAATCACATCGTCATCTACTTCCATAGATTTAGCTGTTAATGTTCCAAGACTAAGTGCCAAAGCAAATCCAATAGGAAAATATGAGGACCCTTGCCTATTTTGCAATACATTTGGGCTCTAGTGTAGCAGTTCTAGCTCATTCAACGCTATACTCAAGCAGCCATGAGCAGCAATACTTGAGTAATGACCTAGCATTAGCACAGTTGAATCATTGATTCATGCCAGAAAAGATTCAACTCAGTTTTACTTTGGCCGTGGATTGTCTAATATCTTCCCTCTTTTATTTGGTTTTGGTGGTACCTCCTATGTAAAAAATTCAGCAAAAGAAGCTTGAAATGGGCAAGATTATCTTGAAACCTTCTATAGATGCCAAAAGAAAAAAGAATGGGATAAAACCTTTAAATTCCATTAGAACACCACATGTACCTATTCCCTTCATTTTATTTTTGGCTAACCATACCCAACTCTTCTCTTTTTGGAATATATTTCCCTATATCTTAAGAGTTCTTTAGTAAACATTGTACTTAATGCTGTTATAGAATTCATAGATTTCTTTATTGTAAATTCTCGATTAATTTATTTATATTTTTTTTAAAAAAAATTGGTTTTCAATTTAGGAACTCAGTGCCATTGTTCCAGCTCGAGAAAAGCAAAAGATTGTGAGAACTGCGATTAGCAAGGTATCATTTTTTTTGGTGGAATCAAATTGAAGTGACAAACATGTGTTTTACATTAGCTATGTCCTCTGAATATAGCTCATGTCCTCTTCAACTTTTTGATTTTTCGATATTCTTTGATGCAGTTTCGCTCAGCCATACAGTTACAATTTGATTTCCATCGGGCAATATACAATCTTGGAACTGTTCTGGTCATATTGCTTCTTCATTTTACACATTTAATGACACATTATGCTTTGGTGTCTTGAATTGCCATGTATGTAACAGTATTAAGAGTATATAATTGACTTACCAAATGTCTTTGCAGTATGGATTAGCGGAGGACACTTTAAGAACTGGGGGATCCGTGGGTGTTCAGGAAGTTTCACCAAATGAATTGTACAGCCAGTCTGCAATATATATTGCTGCTGCCCACGCATTGAAACCAAATTATTCAGTAAGAAGCCACTGTCAATTTGTCTTCCCTTGTGTAAATATTTACTGGCTTTATGCATTTTTTGGATTAGAAAGGATTTTTAGTCTAGTTAACATGTGTCTTTTACTTAATTTATGCTACTATTTTATTTCCTTGGATCCCCTTATTTTTTTTCCTCCAATGTTAATCATGCAATCAGTTCATTATTATTTTGGTGTATGTAACAGGTTTATAGCAGTGCTTTGCGGTTGGTGCGTTCTATGGTGAGTACATGTTATCTTAAATTACGTTAGTGTAGTAGCTTTTGACCTGGATCAACATTACAGTATGCAACAGAATTTATCATTTAAATGACTTAAAAAAATTGCTCTTTCAAGCTTTCTGAATTTTGTTTCACGTTAAATAACCATTCTGTTGTATTGGACCTCATCACTTAATTAGTTCTTATAGACTATAGTGAGTCAACCTATCTTCTTTTGTTAGAAGTTAACTTGTCCTCTACTTGAATTGGTATATGCCATCCGTTATTGCTGTTTTCATTACTATGCGAATGGAGTGGTAGTTGATGGATTCATTCATTTATACACTAACTATGACAGAACTCAATTTTCACAGCTACCATTACCACACCTTAAAGTTGGATATTTAACTGCACCTCCCGTGGGGACAACAATTGCACCTCATAATGACTGGAAACGATCAGAATTCCTTTTGGATCATGAAAAGCTTCAGCAGGTACCATGTGGCTGACAAATTGAATTGTCTTAATAGGCAAAGTTATATTTAGTTTCAAAAGCATTGCATAACCTCCAGGCTCTAGTATCGCAACTGCTAATTTATGATTAAATAATTTACATTCCTCCCTTGGTTCAGATACCCAGAGGAGAACAGAAACAAGTACCTCAAAATCTCTCAGGCAGATCAGCAGATGCAGTGAATGGGGATAAGAAAAGTATCAAAATAGATATAGCAGATATTGTTTCTGTATCAGCATGTGCTGATCTGACCTTGCCGCCTGGTGCAGGCCTATGCATAGATACAAATCATGGATCAGTTTTCTTGGTAAGCAACAGTTTCTTTGATCTGAATTTATCCATGTTGCTCATATTTATTGCTTCATTCCTCCGCACATATCAAAGATTGTTTAATCAAATAGCCCTAAATAAATTGATTGAAGGCAACATAGAGCAATTTTCTGACTGACGAATCTATGACCTTTTTCATGATGAAAAAATCCTGACTTATCCATATTTATTAATTAAATTACCACTTCTTCACACTCATTGTCCCTACAACTTTTAACTATAGTGTTTTATTTCTTGGTCAACCCTGTTGTTTTCTTCTGAAAAATGGGATTTTTTTGTGATCGCTTCTTGTGTTGGTAAGTGTATCTGGTTATGCCATGATATTATCAGATTTAAATGGAGAGAGCAATTACCTAAAATATGCACTATTCTTGTCCATTCTGTCTTGAAACAACAAACACAGCACCTTGGGGGCATATTGTCCATGCTTCCAGTAGTTCTCTCTGCATTTGCATAGAAAGGCAAAGTCCATTCATGAGTTTCAGTGTTTCCCAATTAACCCTTCCCCGACTCACCACACCCCCAATATATTTTAAAAATTGTTCTTCCAAATCCAAATTTAATTAATTTTTTAAGGGTTGATGAAATCATTAAAATGTGATTTCATCTCTCTAGAAACCCGAGAAGCTCTTTAGCTTTTGAAAATGCAGCTCTAATCTTCGTTTTCACTTCTTGCATTATCAAGGTTGCTGACTCTTGGGAATCATTGGATGGCTGGCTGGATGCAATTCGTCTAGTTTACACAATTTATGTGCGAGGCAAAAGTGATGTACTGGCTGGTATAATAACAGGATGAATGAATTTTAAGTGTACCCCCAATTTGATATGCCAATTTTAGTAAGAACTCATTATCCAGCGTTTTGCACTTCTCCGCGAACTTGTGTATAATATTGAGTAATGTATGAAATAATTTCAATACAATTGAAAAATCTTGGTTTACTCGTTGATCAGTGTTGAACATTCTAATTTTTACCAATATATATTTTACAAGAGTTGTAGAATTTTAGGAACTGAAATATGAATCCATGTACTTTGTTGGACAGGTGTCCGTACTTGTAATTGTACGAATTTCTCTTGCGGTTCAAGCCTATTTTCGTTTTTGTTCCTCTGCTTGATTTATCACTTCGTCGGTTATATATTCTTTAGCCCATTTCTGGTATGGCTTAAAAATACGCATTACTCAACGCGGAATGGGTTTCATTATTTTTGTTTGTGTGGGGGTTGGGGAGGTACGTGGAGAGCTGTGCTCCAAAAAACATACCTTATTTTTGTCAGAGAAATTTGATATGTTACAAACTGTATGCGGTGGTACCGGCACTCTTCTGTAATGCATTTGGATGATGTTTGATGTGCTCCAGATTATACTACCGTTTACCAAAAAAGAAAAAAACAAGGGTGTACTAGCTAATTCCTATAGCATTAAACAGTTTGCTCCGTGGTCGGTCAAGCCCTACTGGAAGGAACGAATTTCATGCAGATAGGAGGCTTAACTCTTGCAAGAGCTAGAATGGCTGCAGGTAGAGTCCATAGTCCTTCCCCACAAATTAGTCCAGATGCAGCTGCTGGAACCATCAACTCTGCCTTCTTGGAGTCAATCTTGTGCCATACAAACACAACCAAACTACCTATGCACATATCAATTGCAAAGTATGCCCCAACCAGAAATGGTACGGCCATGACCATTGGTAATGGCATCCATTTCCCTATCTTTTGGGGTGAAAAGTCTCTTATGATGTTTACTCCTATGGCAAAAGCAAAGAACCCAAAGCAAAGCTGCAAGCAATGGAGGGGCAATGCTGAGAAACCTTGGACCCCTATGATTGCCATGTTTCTGTAAATTAACGCATAAGGAGCTTTGAATTCTCCATGCAGGTTTCCCACATCAAATGCCTTGTAGTATAGGAAGAAGCTCAGAGGAGCTGTCACACAGCCCATTGCAATGCCGATTACTTGGCATATGAACATTGCTCTGGGAGAGGTACGTGTGTAATGAGCAGTTTTGAAATCTTGCATCAGAATGCAAGATACCGAGATCACCGATTTAATGATACCACAGCCCACAAGGCCAGCTACCACACCATTTTCTTTTCCTGTAACAGCTGCCAGCGTAAAGAGTGCAACTTTTCCATAATTGTATGCCATGTTTATGTCGGTGAGACCTGCTCCAAATGCATTACAGAATGCCAGAGATGGAGCAAATATATAAGCAACCACCACGTAGTACCATTTCAGCTGAGGAAACATGCGCGGGATTATAATTATGGAAATGATTGTGAAAACTACGTATCCTATGATTCCAGTCCGCATGGGAATATTCTCCGTCAGAAATGCCTCACTTTGTTTAAGGTCCTCAGTGGGATTCCCCTGCCGATCAGCAGCTACTGTTGCTGTAAGAAAACAACCTCAACATTTAGATATCATATGTTACTAATGAAAAAATAAAAAGTAGCTAGAGTGAGTATGTGACTACTCTTACCATTTTTATTGTTCTTGCCCTTGGCTCTTTCAAGGACATTGAGGACCGTGGAAATTAGAATCTTGGTGAAATTGTATATGCCATCACCCAGGATTAGAGCAATTGAAATAAAAACCTTATAACCGTATAAACCCTTCATGTTACTTTCTTCTAAATTGTCAGGGAACCAGTCTCCTTTAAGCCGATCAACAAGTGGATACATGATCCCAAAAGAAATCACGGCTCCAAGGAGCAAAGACAAGTTCACAAGGTGGGAACAAATCATTCCTGCTCCCACAAAAGTCA